CAAAAGCACTACATACATTCACACGCCCTACTGTGGCCAGAGAAACGTTCTTACAATAATTTTACTTCTTTCTTCTTTTTATTATCTAAGTTCACTACTATTATTATTGTTATTATTACTATTATTTTATTATCATTATTATTCTCATCATCCATATTTAATTACCGCTGTATTACTCTTTATTAATAACATTACTTTTTCATACAGATTTTATGTGAAAACACTTTATCGCCATTCCACTAGTTCCTGTCCATTCTACACGAGCTTATTGATTAGTCATTACCTCACACTTATTACGTCATGCCAACATCTGCCCCTCTTCTAATTTCCAATTAGTTACTCTTTCTAGATTACACCTTCCATTATGTTATACATTTTTCGAGGAAAAAGTTTCCCAGTATCTAACTGTTGAGAGTATACGCTATAGACTGAATCAAGACATCCACGTAAAACCCTTCTAGAGGACAGGTATCCACGAAGATTCGCTGACAAAAACATGAAGCAATAGCCTCCGTCGCCAAATTTGCAACTCTTCCTAAGAAAAGGTGACATTGAAGCTGAATTTCTTGGAAACTGCCTTTTTAAATGTCTGATGAAGACATTTCATCCAGCCACTTCAGTCATCACATTCTCCAGCAGATAATTTATCCAGTCAGACAAACATTAAGGATAAGATACCTCTTTTGGCTACCTCACAGTACATTTATCATTCCATTTGTTCATGTGGAGCAAAGTATATTGGACGTACGCAATGTATTCTGGAACATTGTCCAGTTTGGCCAGCTGGCCAGAGGAGAAAAAAAGAATATTACCAGCTCCATCCTCGAACACCTTGTCAACTCTGGACATCGAGAACCTCAATCTGCATGAACGATTCACAGTACTACACAGAGTCCCTCACTATCGTACGAAAGGACTTCGAATACGCCATCTGTACATAGCTGAATCATTGGGTATTCGAGATCTGAAACCGAACCTCTGTATTCAAATGCACCTCACACATTCCTTTGCCCTTCCGTGGCCAGAGTAATGTCCTCACTACAATCTTGCTTCCTTTTATTATGTAAGTTTACTATTATTATTATTTCTTTTATTATCATTATTACTCCTATCATCCACATTTTATTACCACTCTATTACTGTTTATTAATAACATTGCGTTTTCATACAGATTTCATGTAAAAATACTTTGTGGTCTCTCCACTAGTTCCTGTACATTCCACACGAGCTGACTGATTAGTCATTATCTCACACTTATTACGTCATGCCAACATCTGCCCCTCTTCTAATTCCCAATTAGTTACCCCTTCTAGATTATACCTCACATCACGTAAAACGTCTTTGAGGATAATTTTCACCAGCATCTGATTGGTTGTCTTATGAATTCCTTGTGTGAGGATGGAGTTCACACCGATGACATTGGTTGGTGCCAGTCGTGCTAAATCACGAATTGGTAGAAGTTGGAATTCATGAACTGACCACTGAATCGGGTCCCAGTGGCTGAATGGTATACGAGCTTACCTTGTAACCGGAAGGTCCTGGGTTCGACCTCTGGCAGTGAGTGTGTATTGCCAACGATTCCCAAACTAAGCTGATGAAACAGCTGTCCAGTACTCCAGCTCTGGTTTTCAATGGTTTTCTAACGGATATCAATCCGTGATCAACTCGTAAAACATAACTAATCCTTACAAACCAAACTATAGAAAATTATTCTGATGCTCGCTAGTGACTTGCTACAGGTTGGAGCTTCCTGCAGTTCTAGTGAGAAGTCGTGACCAGTGAGGTCCAATTAGAAGTCACGTGTGGATGGATTTCCACCAACGACAATAGTTGGGGTCGCGCTAAAATCACGAATTGGTAGAAGTTAGAATTCATGAGCCATTGAATCGGGTCCCAGTGGCTGAATGGTATACGAGCTTGCCTTGTAACCGGAAGGTCCTGGGTTCGAATCCCAGTGGGTGCGTACTGCCGATGATTCCCAAACTAGGATGAAACAGCAGCTGTCCAGTACTCCCTGGTTTTCAATGGTTCTCTAACTGATATCAGTCCGTGATCAACTCGTAAAACATAACTAATCCTTACAAACCAAACTATAGAAGATGGTATGTAACAATAGTCAGTTAGTTTTGAATATCCGTGGTCGTTGAAAACATGAGATAAACTGAGATGAAATAATTTAATGATGTCTGTAAATAGTATAGTCTTAGCCCAGTTGCTAGATACTGGACACTCTCAATAAAACCAAAGCAGGCGTTCTGTCTAAAGGAGCTCGACTACGTCTTCTATCAGTAACTGAAGTCGTAGCAAACAGTACCAGAAGACCACTATGTTTATTTTCGCGTTCAATAAGGCCAACAAATCCTCCATAAACATTGGTACTTTAAATTCCCGTCGCAAATTTGTCTTTTCTTCTTCTTTTCTTTTGTTTCATTAACAAACGTTCATTTCTGGCCTTTTACGACTTCATGACCTTTCTTACGATTTCTATTACCTTAGGTTTAAGTAATACTTTTCTAACTTGTTATTATGTTTACAAAATCCTGTTCATTTCAGTTCACTACATTCATTATTATTATTTGATGATCATTCGCCAATAGTACTTTTAAGTTTACAACACATCATCGTTATTATTATTTTACAATCATTATTATTGTGATTATTCTCACCGTTGAACTTACGTATAGTCTGTCCTATTCGTTGGTTTGTTTTCCTGTAGTATTTATATTGTCTCACACATCATTGATTACGTATATACTCGAAACCTGTATCTGAACATCAGATTAATTTTCAAGTATTGGTTTTTGTGGGGAATTCTGTTTAATTGGTTGGAGGATTTCACCATAAGTTGACATCAGTTACAGAACCATTGTAAAACCACCTGGAAGTACTGGACAGCTGTTTAGTCAGCTTAGTTTGGGACGTTTTAGCAGTACGCGCCCACCGGTACTCCAGTACTTCCAGGTTCTCCAATGATTCTCTAACTGATGTCAGCTAATGATGAAATCCTCCAACCAATCAAACGAAATCCCTGAAAAAAAAATACTTGAAAATTAATCTGATGCTTACCAGCAACTGAACATGTTCAGGCAGTTAACCTGGGTTTCTATTGGGAAGCAGTGACCAGTGAGATGCAGCATGTTGAAGGTGAGGCAGTAACTCATCGAAGAAGACATTGCGAAGTGGTCGCGCTATGTGATGAATAGGCAGAAGTTGGAATTCATATACTAACCAATGGATCGAGTCCCAGTGGCTTCAGGGTCTACAAGCTAGCTCCCCTTGTAACCAGAAGGTTCTGAGTTCGAACCTCGGTGGTTGCGTACTGATGAAGAGCCCCAAACTAGGCTGACGAAACAGTCTTCCAGTACTCTTAGATATTTATATATGTATATCATTAAAATATTTCATCTCAGTTTATCTCATGTTCTCATTGACCATGGATATTCAAAACTAACTGACTATTGTTCCATACCATCTTACTTACACTTGTTCCACAATACATTTCTGATATGATTGCCTTTACTGGCTGGCTATTGTATAGCATAAACGAATGGATTTATAATTGTAGAGCTTGAAGTGAAAGAATTTATTGAAACCACAATTGTTCGCTCTAACTAGTTTTGTTCTACGATATTCCTTAATCATTTTCTATATATACAATTAATGAATTAGAAACATTTATTTCCTGATACGAATTTTAAACAAGCTACTGCGTATATCAGTTTAAGTGTGTTTTTGGGGGAAGCAAATACATAGGTCGTACAAAAAATGTGACTATCTACTTGCTTGATGAAGCATTTGCCTAAGTGCATGATATTGAGTCTGTCAGGTCATTCGTCGTTGTTAGCAGGCAAACAAAAAGGAAAATGCTTGCAATTGCTGAGGAGGCTTGTGCAATTCACGTTTGTCAACCAGGTCTCTATGTACAAAAGACGATGACAGTCACCCTGAATCTACCATGGTAATATGTTTTCTTTATTAACTGTCACTATTATTATTATTAATATTTTATTCTACCTCTTATTATTATTCTTGATTCATTTAAAACTATCCTTTATCAGTAGCATTATCTTCACTCGTTTCAAAATTATTATATTATTATTACTGCTACTATTAATTTTGATATTACTCATTTCGCAATTCTTGGTACATTCAAGTTCTTTCTCTAATGACTAATTGTTTGTCTAGGTGATGTAATTGAACTGTAATTCATTTTATCTTAATTTTAATTTCTCATACTCCCTCTCCCATTATCTATTTGAGCATGACCTGAAAACTTATTCACACTTGTCGTTTTACATGATTAATTCAATGTAGTTTATTTGCTTATCAGTCTTATATCTCCCAATGTATTTCTGATACTATATATATATATATATATATTATATAATATATATATATCCGTGTATGTAGAGTAGTATTCAGCTGACAAAGAGTTGTACCGAAATTTGATGAATTCATTAAATCCTGCTTTATTAACCCCTTTGTTGCTTGTTTTACATACTAACGAGCTTAATAATGAATTTTGCTCCTCTCCATCATGCCACTTGGTTTATTATTTTTCCTTTAGGTTCCGAGTAGAACGTAGGGCTTCCACAGCACATTTCCATATCACTTTGTTCTCTACAGTCATTCTTATCTGACTGGAAACCACAATTGTCCATAGTCTCTCATCTCCTCCTCACACAGTCTCCTCCATGTCACCCTAGGACGAATGATGCTCAACGCATCGTTTCCAACTCGGTTCCCTCTCAACTGACGGCCTAGTGTGTGATATCATCCGACGGTTTCCTCAGAATACTTTTTTGACCAATAGGTTCACGAATGATTCGTTCCACTCTAGAGTTTCTTATTGCTAATTCTTTCTCACTGGTCATCTGGCCAGCATCAAGAAGTACTTGCCTTGACAAGAAAAGCCAACACATCAACAAACACATAAAACATTTACACACCGCATAAAATAAATCAAACAAAAAACAAAGATAACATATATCAAAACTTACTTTTGATACTGATCGATAAATTAAGACATACAGAGTAACCACACAAATAATACACAGAATATAACTACACGTTTGAAATTTTTGTACAATTTTATATAGAACATCTTCAATCATTGTATGATTTAATCTGGTTATCTCTGTACACTCATATTTCTCATCCCCGATTGGATTAGATAAATCAATTGAAATGTTTGAATAAGATGTCAGCAAGTATAGTGTAGTCACTGGTGTTGTACTGTTATTATTATTCTGGATAAATGTAATATTTCCGCCATCATTAACATCATTATTATCATTCTTATAATCATGCATAGCATCTTGTTCCGGTCTGCTCCTCTCAACACGTACAGTAAACGTTGAACTAAAGCCTAACAGCAAGCATATACAAATTAAACTGAATATCACACGTTTAGCGCATTCTCTTGTCAGTATATTCTTGAATGGATGACACAGACAAAAGTATCGATCAAATGCTATACAACTAATCAATAAACTACTAAATGGTATAAATGAATTATTAATAAAATAATAGAATTTACACAGAAATGTTGAATCAATATTCCATTCAAGATATTCAATAATCATTGTACCAGGGATAAGTGTAACACAGGCTAAAAAATCTGAGATAGCCAAGACGAGAATAAACAGGGTAGCTGTTAACCGGTCATGTTTCAGAGCATAAACAATTATCACTAGAATATTGCCAAGTATACCAATGATACAAATAATTCCAAGCATAAATAATACAGTCGGTATTTGACTGGATAGATTTGCTGTCATAAGAGACATGACAGTTCAGCGTGTCTGATGATGTAATACACGTCTTTGTAGATGTATACGTATGTATATATATGTAAGCAGGTATGTATGTAAGTAGATTTGAATGTGGCGCTTCGTTACCAGTTCTGTAAACAGATTCTTGACAGGAAACACTTTGAAGATTGAATAATCCTCTTCTTTAGCATAATTTTTATATTGATTAGAAATCTAAAATAAGAAAGTAACAAGATAAATAAAGATGATGGTTACGATGACGGTGTTTGTCAATGAATATTGAAGTTTCACTGGAAAAGAGTAAAATCAGAATATTAATAACACGACTTAGATAAATTCATTACTGAACCTTGTGTCAACTGATATAAGAACAAAACTTGTGCACTGCAATGCTACAGTATAATTCCATTTTGGGTAAAATTTGTTTTGATAAAGTCTCACAGTGTAGTGTTATACAGTAATATTTACTACTGATGACCACGTCTCGAGTACAATTTATTACTCCTCATAATCGTGTCAAGACACTACTCACACATCTTTCTAACTTCATTTGTATAATTCCATTATTTTTCATCGCTTGACTTGATGATTGGTATGAGTGATGAGTCATTTCTATTGCATGTGTTGGGTGTAGACTCGATGAACGAGGATCCAGTGATCAATCTTTCTCTTCACATACCTATATTACTTCTCAGAAATGTAAACCTGCCCCACCCTATTGTGTGGTTGGATGTTAGTGCATGCATGCAGTACTATTTCTGAGTTTTTTTCCAAATTACTTATCTTCATTGTAACCTTAGCTAAATTCTTATTTTCCGACAATCTGACTACCCCCAAACTGCTAGTTTGACCTATGTAGTTGACCTCACTGACAGTCATTGCAAGTTATTTTGTAAATTATATTATTTTATCTAATTGGGTCAACCGACAGGGTCCTTTAACTTACAGAGCTTTTCATGCCTGCCTCAGTGATTTTGTAGGTTTGAATGCCACCAGCCTAATTCCTGCTTTATTGAGAATCCTACGTAGGGAGGGTGTCAGATGTCCCCTCCTTATATGGTAATCTATATGGTAATCTACTGCAGATGCCTTATATTCTCTCTTATTTATGTTATCATTACTAGTTTCACAATTATTTCCATTTTGCTTTTGGTCTTTACTGATCTTCCTAATAAATTTTATAGGATAGTTATTTAACACCAACGCCTCTTCTATCTGTTTTATTTCATCAATCAAATCAAGCGATGAAAAATAATGGAATTATATCAACGAAGTTAGAAAGTTGTGTGAGTACCTTGTGTCAACATCATACACATACTAGAAAATAAAGTGGTTATATTGTAACAACAGAAGGAAAGGGCTGGGCAACAGATCGTTTATTGAGAAAATCAACAGGTATTTATAGATTTTTATGTACATTATTATTCGCGTTATTGTTAGCAGAGAAGCAACATCTTCTGATCAGTTGATTTCTCGCTGAAGGTTATTCTGCATTGCTTATGACCGTTTCTTAGAAAGTTAAGCCATATTTCTGCGAATCGTATTTGCACACTTTAAGTCTGCTGTGATTGGTTGTTGAGCTCCCCAAGGTTAAGCTTTGTTATTGTTGTTTCTTCTCGCATGACTCCGATTCGGGACGTAAACATTGACGTAAATAGTTGTCTAAAATTTTCGCTTGCAGACAGTTAACACACTTTAGTTAGAAGAGAGAAAGAACGAACATGTTTGCATAATAATACGAGCTCGTTTTATTTCGCGGATACTCATCAACTGCATACATCCTAAACAAAATTAAATTATAAGTTTCAAAAAAGTTTTGGAACATACTTTTTCATAATTACTTGGAATTATAGATAGAAGTTACAAACGAGGTCTAGTACAAACGCTCTTCAGCAAAGCCAAAGAAATATGTTCGGAAGACAAGATTGAAGAAGAACTCGCGGTCATCGAAAAGAACCTTATCGAGAATGGATATCCTCGAAATTTCATATTAAAATATAAAAATGAAGAAGTACACAAACCGAAACCCGACACCGTTGAAAAGAAACCAGTTTTCATCTGTCTAGCGTACAAAGGGGAAGACGTATCCACAAGAACACAAAAAAGAATCACAGATGCATTAAAAAGAACGTTTCCAGCCGCCAGACTGATCCTATTTCACAACACTGTGTGCTCGTTAACCCAGTCAAAAGTAGATGATTACCCTACTCACGTCAACTCCAACTGCATTTACCAATTCACTTGCCCTTGCGGAAGCAAGAACATAGGAAGGACTGAGAGGACAGCATCTACTAGATTTTCTGAGCACATTCCTAAGAGTCTCTGTACAAAAGGAACAAAAGTGTTATAGAGTGCAATCGCCACACACTCAATTGACACCCTGGTAACCCTAATTCTATTTTATTTTATTTTCGTTTGCCTTTTGTCAGTATGTCTGTGTGTTTGTCTTCAATTTTGACTTTCAAATTTCTTAATCTACTTAATTGTCTGTTTAAGTTTAAAAAAATGTTACTTCACTATTCACCCCCACCCTCTTAAACTCTCCACCACAAGATGTATAAATTCACTCTGTTCTCTGACCCTGACCCTGTAAGATGCCTCTAACCAATCTGTGTTTTCCAATAGAAATCTGAACTCTAACCCCTCTTACCTAATTCCACCAAATATAATTAGTTGTTTTTTTTTGACACTGAATAATCTGTCTACCTACATCAAATTCTGGAATTATGTACCTTATACCTTCTATCTATAACTCCAAGTAATTATGAAAAAGTATGTCCCACAACTTTTTTGAAACTTATAATTTGATTCTGTTGAAGATGTATGCATTTGATGAGTATCCACGAAATAAAACGAGCTCGTATTATTATGCAAACATGTTCGTTCTTTTTCTCTTCAAACTAATAAAGGGAACCGGTTGTACGAAACACTTTAGTTAATTAGAGATGAATTGTTTTAGTCACCTATGTAAGGTCATAGAAGATTTGTTAACAAAGGACAGGAAGGGTAGTAACAAGATATGGAGAGACATATATTGTAAGATTATGTAAGTCAATAAAGGTAATAATCAATCGTCGGTTTGCAAGGATTTGATTGGTTACAGGTTAAGTCATGGATTGACTACAATTACAGAACCATTCGAGAACCTGGGAGTACTGAAAAGCTGATGCTAACTGGCGACTGGCTTTATACAAGAAGTTCTGGTGAGATGTTGTAACCAGATGACTGCACTAACTCAGATAAGAGATCTGTTACTCGCATATGACATTGACTGGTTGTTGCGCTGTGTGTATATATCTCAGAAGTTTTAATTCATAGGCCATTGGATCAAGTTTCAATGGCTGATTGGTCTACGAACTTGACTTGTAACTAGAAGGTCTTAGGTGTGAACCCCTTTGTTGGGTGTGTACTGATGAAGAGTCTCAAACCAGGCTGATGAAACAGCCATTCATTACTCCCAGCTGGTTTTTCAATGGTTCTCTAACCGATGTCAGCTCATGATAATCAAATCCCTGCAAACTAACACTTGAATATCAATCTGATGCTCACTAGCGACTAGACCTATTCAGATAGGTAGTTAGTTACATGGTTTCTAGTAAGAAGTCGTGACCAGTGAGGTACAACAGGTCGGGTGTGAGGACAAATACTCGCCACCGATGACATTGGCTAGTGCCAGCCGCGCCATATTATGAATTGGCAGAAGTTGGAATTCAAGGGTTTGCCATTGGATCGACTCCCGTTGGCTTAATGGCCCACGAGCTCGCTCACCTTGTAACCGGAAGGTCTTGGGTTTGAACCTCGTAATGTGGGTGAGTACTTCCGAAGAGTCTCAAACTAGACTGACAAAAAGCTGTCCAGTACTCCCAGCGGTTCTATAATTGACTTCAAGTCGTTATTAAAGCTTAAATTATCCATATTAAAGTGAAATATTCAGAACAATATTGTGAGATACCTGCACCTAGTTAAATATCAGGGATTTGGAGGCATTACGTCTAATATGTGATGATGTAACTAGGTAGGGATGAAAGAAAAGTCAGCATTTACATATAATTAAACATTTTTTTATACAATCGCTTAAATTCCAAGAGCCAAGTTATCAAAGTACAAAGAGATTCGCTACGCCTCACTTCTCAATACACATATTAGGTTTTAACCGCTTGATAGTAATGGCCTTTGAGAACTTCAGGAGACTTCACTTTTCTGTTTATTTATTATTATTATTATTGTTATCTTGAAGGAATTTAATATGTCTACATGATATCCAGTATCAGTCAGATATCACATGGCTGCACTGCTCAAAAATTAACTCCTTAACTGAAGAATTTTCAATATGCTGCTTCTTTCTGTTCTTCCTGTGCATCTACCTTGTCAATCACACGTTATTTGATATACACGCTAAAGTGTGTTACGTAACAGCAGGAAATTTCCCAGTCAGTGATCACTTAGTCAAGAGACATCACCTATTAAACGCTATGCTCCATTTGTCTGATACCTAACCAAATAGGCTTAATTCAAAATAATTTTGTCCATCTCGCATTTATTCGTTAACAGTTTCTTTTCTTTTTATTCCTTCACGTTCCCAGTGGAACATAGGGCTTCAGCTAGGGCTTAAGTTTCTGTAGCAGTGTTATTTTACAGGATGGGGTTGCAGCCTCATGCCCAACCTTCCCTCTTCACCAGCTTTTTAACTGGCTTAGCGAGGTTAAGGAGTGCGTCGGCCGGGTATCGAACCCCAGACCATGTGCATGGTCGGCAAGCATCCTAACCACTGTGCCACCGACCTATTATGACTTACAAAATCTTATAATTTATGTCCCTCGATATCCTAACGTACCTTTGTCCCATTTCATTGAGATGCTTCGATTGCACTGTATATACCACTGCAGCAATTCATCATACTTATACTTTGATTTACGTTGATTCAAAATGGGTGTCAGTGGTTTAGTCGTAGAATACTCTCCAACCATGCCTCATGTGGTCGGGGGTTCTACCTTTGGTCAACACACTGCTAAACTTCGCTTAGATTTCAGTAAACCTGATAAACATGGAAGGTTGAGTGTGAGACTAGCAATCCCACCCCACTGAAAACCAAAAATACCACTGCTACTGA